GCCTGGATCTAGAAGGTCTCTTGCAGATAGAGCTTCTGAGAGCATGAAAAATGAATGTGCTTAGGAGACAGCTTCAAGAGTTACAATCCAACATTTCTAGTGTTCTTATAAAGGGAGACAACTGTGTATAACATCCAGTGCAGATTGAAGCAGATGATTATGCACTAAGCCATATAAGCTTGGGAGAGGCCTGAACAGATAAATTCTGCCTCAGGCTCAGAAGATCCCCCCCCCCATCCTGGGCTTCTATTCTCCTAAACATGTCATCTATTGTTTAAGCCACCAAGTTTACAGTGTTATGGTGACCCTAGTCAACCTATATTCCATATCCACATGCAGACCTACAAACAACCCTCTGCTGGTGGGGAAAGCCACAATTTCAAGAGCAGATCAGTACCCACCATTAGCAGAGCTCAAATGGAAGGGCAAAACTACACCCATGCTATTCCTTAGGGTCCATCTAGGGGACAGTTCGCTCATCCCTTCAGGGGGCAAGAGAAAGGAGAAGTCTATGGTGTCCAGCACATCAGCCCTTCTATGGAGTCTAAGGGGTGTAAGCCTGTGCCAGCATCTACCTGCTTTGTGCTCTGGAAAGCAGGCCTCTGTCCCATATTCAGAAGCAGACTAGAGAAAAGGCTAACAGGCCTTAGAAGCAGCACCCAGGGGACAAGAGCAGAGGTCTATAAGTGAGGGGTAGGCAAGTTGAGGTGGGTTTCTAGAAGCTTCAGGACCCATCCCTGAGATCCTCAGCTTTCCCCTAGGAGAATGCAGAACTAAGGCTTGAACAAGCATCCCTCGAAGCATGCTGATACCATGAGGAATAGTTTCTCCAAACAGGGTTGGGTGAGGGACCCAAGAGTTGATCAGAAGTCCAAGTCAAGACAGGCTAAATTCTCCACACAGGCAGACTAGCAGAGCCTCCATGTCACCAGTCACAGGCATGGGTGTGACTGAGACCAGACACTGCCACAGGGTACAGAGGTACCACAAGGCTGGGCCCTCATACAATGGGCACAGCCAGGGCATACACCAGGGCCAAACAGATCAGACACAAGTGACTACACACGTCTGGGAGCCAAGAGAGTTGGCTCTGGCCTAAGGGAGAGGGGTAATTTACCTTTCAAGCTACTTGGCTAGGAAAAAAAATGCCCCCAGCTTTTCCCACTCAAATGGTTAAGACGAGGGTTTAAAAATCACTGCCCTGTGTCTTGGGCTCTGAAGAGGGCAGACCCAAACTTGAGTCCTGGTTGCACACCACTTACTGGCTTCTGAACCTGATGCCTGTCCTGCCCTAAAGCGAGGGCTGAATACAGCTTGGCTCCCTTTAAACGCTCAATGCGTAAGAGATCAGAGAAATGTCACAGAAATAGCCCTAGGTAAACAAGGGTGAAGGTGAGGCAGGACTGTCACCTGGCCTCAGGCTACCATTTACAGACACACAGGACAGCGCACAGGTAAAGGCTTCAGCCCCTGAGCTGCTCACAGCTCAACATGCAAAAATAGTACGGGAGTTTTCACCATTCCTGGGTAGGTGGGCCTGCTGAGCTGTACAAGTCAGCTAGGCATGAGCCAGAGTGACCAGGAAGCAGTGTTCCTCCGGTTTCTGCCCTTCCCTCAGTAATGGGCTGTTACCCTAGCAAAGCTGAAGTAGACCCCCTTTCCTCCCAAACTGCTTCTGGTAATGGTATAGTAACAGGAAAACTAGAACAGCCAGCTCAGAAAATTGTTATTGAATTATGTCAATGCTGTTGTAATGAAATAGCTTCTTCTAAGTATGCGCTGATTTTTAAAAATCCACCCCCCCACCCTGCAAAAAAAAAGGCTACGTAACCAAGGGCCTTGCAAGGCTGGGATCAAGTGTACAGCCATGTTCACCATGGTCAGACCTCTAGCATCCCCACTGGCAGCCACATGAATGTGTCTTGGTACAGATTAGAGATGGCGCAGTGAGGTCGGCTTGGAGGGAGCGGACCAGCCCTTCCAGAGATCAGAGGTGGCCTCTCTGAGCTCATTTACAGAAGACAAAGACTGGATGGAGGCAGGGGTACCGAAATTCCTTTGGGGGCAGGTGATAAGGCAGTGACAGGAAGGACTAGGGAGACCCAGTCTACACAGCAAGCTTCCAGAGGATGGGGTGGTGGGGCACCAGCCTTGCTCCCCGACTCTGCAAGTGACGCAGGGCCCTTGGGCTCATAAATCAAAGACAGGGAAGAGAAAGCCCTCACTCCTCAGGTCTTGGACCCATAATGAAGGCTGTAAGGAAACTGATGGGCCTTGGACGTTCAAAACCATCTCATTGCACCTTTCTGTTCCCAGAAGTACAAGTCTTACAGCTCTGGTGTAGTCTACATAAGCAGGGAAACAGCTTAAAGAGACCTCTCAGCAACTTGCTCAGGACATGTGTCCTGAGCCCCCACTCAGTCCATGAGAAAACTCAATCCACCTGAAACTCATTTTCCCTCTTTCCAGCTGGGAGCCGTTAACACAAAAGGCCAATTAAGGGGTTACTGTCTTGCACGAGTATTTCAGAGTTGCTCGTTTTAAGAACTTAAAACTTTTAGAATAGTTTTTGGCATTTTATGCTGCCCATTTCCCTCACAGCAACATATTATATCTTGAGAGCTCCACACTAAATGTTAGAAACAAATGTGGTCTCTGCTCTCAGAGGGTGAGGGCAGGGAGAAACTCCAGTGAATACATAACAGCCTGTGAAGTATAATCTGAAAGCACTGGCCTTAAACTGAAGCATCAGGAATGGCCTAGAATCAGCAAGTGCAGAGGCAGGTGCTAGGCAGGGCAGAACTTCCCAGGGGATTTGAAATCAAGAATGGAAACTCCAGGACTTCATGGGCTAAAGAGTGGCTTGCGAAGTGGTTAAGACTAAGCCTCACTTGCTGCAATGGACTGGTTCCGCGCATGGAAAGCTGAGGGACTCAAGTAGACCCAAGAAATGTGACTCTTGGAGCTGGGTAGTGCTAGTAAGATGGGAGCTGAGGTGCAGATTTTCAAAAGGTCTGGGTTTGGTGAAGGGTTGGATGTGGGGGATAAGGGCAAGGTCACTGTGGGGAAGGAACATCCCAGAAGCCTGGTGAGGGATGGGAAGGCAAGGTCATCATCATCTGCCGGCCTGTGCTTTGGCTTGTAAAGGTGCTCCAAGACACTTTCAGACATCATGGGTTCAAAAGGGGGCGGAAGTAGCCAGGCTGATTTGTAGAAATGGTGACTTCTATCACCATCTGGTTAAAGGTTTCCATGGAGAACACACAAGGCAGATTGGCCACACCTGACTGCTCTCTAAGGTTAAGAGAGCTCAGCTGATGGCCTGGGGAGGAGCCAGGTGAGCACACACCTGGATGCCCTCTAGCATTCAAACCCTGAAATCTACAAATTCCTTGAATCCCCTAAGTGATTTTTATTGTGAACAGTTGCCTATAGATACATGTTGGCCCTCCAAAAAATGCAAGTTAAGCTAAAAAACCCAGAGACCACATCCTGCCAGGTTTAGGCACTTGATTTGTTTGCTTTGTAGTGTCAATGCCAACGCTTTATGCTCGAGCATACTATAGGGTGAGCTTGAAAGTTTGAAGAGTTACCCGAGTAGCCAATTAAATGCCCATCTTTGTATTGCTTACTAAGTAGGAACTGAAACATGGTTTAAAACATTAAGAATTTCGATTATCTAAAAACGTTTCTGATGAACTCACAGCCTACACTATCTTCTGTCCCAGAAGCCTAGGAATACATCTTGCTCTTTGAGAAAAATATTGTTAGCACAGCCTTAGACCGGCACCATCTGACACAACTTCCCACACAACCACAGAAATGTTTTCTGTCTGTACTGTCCGTTATGGTAGAGCTCAGAGGAAAAGAGGAACTGGTTTTTTAAAACGTAATTGTAAGGAAACTTAAGATAGGCCCAGGATGCTGGTGGGTACAGCTTATGAAACCGTTTGAGCCTTGGCATATTCGTCAACCAGTACCACAGGAGTTCGGACCACACAGTGGCAAGGTTGCAATTTATAGGTGGGGGCAGGGGAATCTCATTCAAAAAGCAATGAATGAGCACGAAAGTACTTTCGGAGTTAACCAGAGTGATCCCTTCATAGGCAGACCCAGGAAGGCAACAGAAGGTGTCAGAGGCTGAGGATAGAGTCCTAGAACTTTAAGAATGTTGCGGTGTCAGAGGCACGAGATTAGCATAACACAGTCTGAAGTAACAGCTAGCATTCTTATTCAAGAATCTAAGAGCTCCTGTGGGCTTTAACTTGATAGTCTACCACCCTGTTACCGAGACGAGACAGGCAAGATTAGGCTAGAATCCAACTAGATAGGACACAGGTGGGTATCCAGGCGAATCAAGAGCCCTGGGCTGCAGGATTGAGTAACAAACCTGCCCAGGCCTGAAAACAAACCCGGCTACAACTTCCAGAGCAGAACCCGACATTTTCCCACTTGCAAAGCCCACTCCCAGGTTTCTACCTAGGCTTACGCGCTTTCTACGCGGCCTTGGTGAAATTTGCTTTTCCCGAGAAGTACGGACAGAATTCGGCAAACTGCCCCTGCTTTCAACTCCATCCCCCCGGATGCTTTACTTTAGAAGGTTTGAGAAAGCAGAGTAGGTCTAGTTAGGCACGTTTAGTTCCCGCTTCTAAGCACTGCTAGCAAAAAAATGCTTCAAAAGAGCCACGTGCACCAACACTGCGTTCAAGGCTTTTCCAAGCCCCAGGCGCAGAACCCGCGGAAAGCCAGAGAACACCGCTCAGCCCCAGAAAATACACAACCTTCAAAACCCGCTCCCTTCCTGCCGAGAGCGGTCTAGCCCTCCCGGCCGCCCGCACCGCCTTTTATCAGGAGCCGCGCCGTGCGTCACTTCCGGGGCTGCCCCGAGGGCGGGGCCACGCCCGCGCAAACTCCTAGGGCCGCAGCCGCCGAGCCGAGTGCTTGACTATATATGGTCAAAGCTGGGGGCGAGCCGCGCCGGGGCCGCGCTTCCGGGTTGGGGCGTCCGCAGCGGCAGCGCGCAGGGCAGGCGCGAGCCGGCCAGGGAGCCCCGGCCTCGGCACGCCCGGCGCCGCCTTCCGCGCAGTCCCCGGGCTCGGTCACTGCCAGGTCCCCTTCGAGCGCGGCGCGGAGACGAGTGGGCGAGGATGCCGTACGAGATCAGTGAGTGCGCGGGGCCGGGCAGGCGCTGGGTGCGGGGCGGGGACCCCGAAGTTGGCGCCGCGGGCCCCGCGCCTCCGGGGGCCCGGCCGACCAGGAAGTGGCGCTGGGCCCTCCCGCGGGCCGCAACAGGTGACGGTGCGGACCGGCCCGGGACGCCGGGTCGGGGGGAGAGGCGTCCTCCTAGGGAGGGGACCCCGGCCGCCCCCCCCATGCACCCCGCTTGTCTGTGTCCCCGCAGAGAAGGTGTTCGCCAGCCTCCCGCAGGTGGAGAGGGGCGTCTCCAAGATCCTCGGCGGGGACCCCAAGGGCAGCAATTTCCTGTACACCAACGGCAAATGCGTCATCCTGAGGAACATCGACGTGAGTACTCCCTTCGCCCCGCGGGGTGCTACCGTAGGAGCCCCGAATTCTTCCCCTGCGGCCCCCTCAACTCTCAGCCCATTGGCCTGGGGAGGGGGAGGTGCGCCACGCCCCTTGAAGCCCTGGAGCAGCTGCTCCTCCCCAGATCTGGGCTGGGCTGTCTGGTTCATCCAGCCAACCCCCCCATTAATGAGGCTCCTTCCAGTTCAGCCCTTACAGCAGGGGCTATTTGAGTTTGGGGCATCAGAGAGATAGGTCTGCTGCTGCGTGGTCTTGGGGTGCTTGGTGATTGGTCTTCCCTCCCTAAGCCCAGTTTCCGTATTGGGAAAATAGAGATAGTGAGTTGATCTCCCCACCCATCACCACTCGCTTCCCCTGGCTGTCTGCTGAATGGGCCAGCTGGGTCTCCTCCTCGAGTCGACTGTGCCTGGCACAAATGGAGCGTTTCGTACATGGCCTTTCCGCTTAATCATCCTAATGCCCTCGGCCTCCCAGTGTTCCAGAGCCCAGACCAGCCGCTGTGGCCCAGCCTCTGTAGAAACAGGAACTAGAGTGTTCCTGAGTCCTGTGCTGGCACCCTCTCCCTAGGTCACCTCTTTGGGACACTCTTGTTCATGTTGTTCTCTGATTGTTGAAATGAAGCCAGTCTGCTTGCTGGGACCGCCTCTCCCTTCCAGGATGGCAGTTTACTTCCCCCTCAGCCTAAGGCATGGGATGGAGTGGCAGCTGGGGGTGGCAGTCTGGGATTGTGTGCTGATTGTGGTAAGGGGCTGGTGGAAAGGTGTAGACTTTTGATTGACTGGCAGGGCTGTGGGCTTCAGCCCCTGCAGGCTGGGAGCACCCTTGGTGGGTTGAAGATGTGGCTCATCAACATCCATGTCCTGGGAGAGCTTCCTAGCTGGCCGAGGTCTGGCAGGGAGCTGCAGGCCTCAATTTGTAAGGGAAGCCACACTCTGGACTGCCATGGCTGACTGCTTTGTCCCTGTCTCTGGTAAAGCTAGCCAGGTTCCAGCCCTGTGGTGGTTTTTGCCCTGCTAGGATTACAGAGTAGCTCATATGAGGGGGAAGGGTTGGGTTGTGAGCCTGTCTTGAAGATGCTAAGAGCTAGTCCTGTAGATTCCTAGAAAGCTGATCCAGCCACCATGGAACTGGCCAAGTATCACCAAGGGCTTAAAACTGAAGTGAGGTCCTGAGATTTTTAAGAAAGCAAAAAATGGGGATGATCACAGTAGGAGCTCTCATGGTTAGACCGAGAAGATGACTAGAGCATTTTTGGGAACACCAAGCAGCAGCAAGTATCTGCTGTCGTCCACCCCCCCCCGCCCCCCAGAGCCTCCTCAGTCTGTAGTCAGGAGGGCTACGCAGCTATGGGGAGTGCTACCCTTTCTGATGCTATTTCAGGGGCTCTTCCCCTCGCTGTGTCCCAGCGCCAAGGCCCTATACCACTTCCTGTGCTATTACCCTCTATTCCCTGGGTTTACTATACCCCCTGAGGGTGCAGCCTCTTCCCACCTGGGTTAAGTTCCTGCCATGCCTCTCTATGCCGAATGACATCAGGCGCTTGGTAGTTGGCTGATGGGCTAGTCCTCAAACAAAGATGGGTTAGATTTTTATTAGGGCAGTGTTCCTGGGAGAGAGTGAAGTGTAAGTTTTCATGAACATGTAGGATGCAGGAAGGAAGATGGTCTGCATAGGATCCAAGCTCAGGAGGAAGCAGGAAAGAATGGGGCTGGTGCCACTCCGCAGGCCCGCTCGCCTCCTCGCTCCTCAGACTCTACCACATACACTTGGACCTGCTGGTTGGGTGACCTTTGCCTGGGTATTCCTTCCTCCAGAGGCCACAAGGCTCGCTTCCTGTCTTCTAGGCTTCTGTGATGTCACCTTTCTAGAGGGGCCCCCCTAAATGTCACTTGTACAGAGTCCAGCCTTCGCTTTTGCTCCTGAAGGCAGTAAATATGCAACATTGCCCCTTCATGTGCCAGAGGTGCTCTCTTGTCCCTAACTGGACCTTGGCTCCAGGAGAGCAAGGCTGTCCTGTGCCGTTGCAGGTCTCTATACTGGAGTGCTGGCACACAGCAGCTGCTGCCAGAGGTGATCGGTGTTACTGAGCTCACTGCGCTTACTTTTTTTTTTTTTTTAACCTGATACAGGGTCTCACCATATAGCCCAGGCCGGCATCAAACTCAAAATACCCCTGCTTCTGCCCCCCAGCAGCTGGGGTGTCATGTGCCACACCACATGTGGCTTTGCTGAACTTAAATTGTTACTGAGCTCACTGCGCTTTCTTTTTTTTTTTTTTTTAACCTGATACAGGGTCTCACCATATAGCCCAGGCCGGCATCAAACTCAAAATACCCCTGCTTCTGCCTCCCAGCAGCTGGGGTGTCATGTGCCACACCACATGTGGCTTTGCTGAACTTAAATTTTATGGAACCACCTTTTGAACTTGTCAAGAGTACTTTTGACAACATTCTTACTGGCCTGCCTGACTGCCACACTGCTTTGGAAACGTGGCTTGTAGGAAAGGGATATTTCTTTTTTTAATGGGTACTATAAATTTTTCAGATTGAATTTTTGTGCATTTCATACAATACATCTTGATCATATTTAGACCCTCTATCTGTGCCTCTTAGAGTCCCCCTGCCGGATTTCATGTCATATATGTTAAAACCATCTATGTTAAGACTCAATAGTCAAGTTTGTGTCCCCAAATGTCCCTCAGTGTAAGTCCATCCCTGGAGCGTGGTCAGTCTATCTAGCATCACTCCTTAAAGAAGACCAGCTCTCTACCTCACGATCAGCTGCCAATAGTTCCTCAGCTAAGGTTGGGGCTTCCTGCCCATTTGCCCAGTTCTGTGCTGGGGTTTCGTTTAGTTTGAGTTTGCATGGGTTTTGCGTGTATGCCATCACCAGTGCTGTAAGTTCGTATGAGCAGGTTCCCAGCTGCCTGGAAAGCTCTTTCCTTATGAACATGCACCACCTCTTAGTCTTCCCACCCCTGTTTTGCAATGGTCCCTGAACGTTCACTCCAGGTGTGTGAGGCTTAACAGGAGTCCTGCCTAGGGACCTGCACTCTGCAGTCGCTTACTCTCTACTTTGTGGTCAGTTAGAAAGGGATATTTCTTATCTTCCCTTCACCATGTCTGGTTGACTCATGTAAAGGGGAAATTCTCTTCAGGGTTAAAGTATGTGGCAGAGGCCCTCTAGAAACTAACATTTGAGAACTCCAGAACTGAGACTTAGGAGAGCGGTTCGCACCTTGACAGACAGACGTGAGGAACACTAAAGACGACACTGGGTTCCTGGATTATAGAACTAACGTAGACACTTGGGAAACTTGGTTCCATACAATCAAATTTCAGGGAGTGAGATGTGTAGTAATTGGACAGTTCACTGATTTGTCTCTTTGGACCAGTTGAAGGAGGTTGAACTCAAACCAACTTTCACATGATTCCATCTGTTAGCAGCACATGCACAGGTGGGGAGTGGGGTGGGGCTTGAAGACTGACAACTCTGCAGATGCATGCTGCTGAATCCCGGGACTGCCAGCCTGTGGAGGTACAGGTTAGAAGGCCTGCCCCATGGAGCACACTGTCATGGGAGCAAAGTGAGCTCCACCAACAGAAGGAGCGTCAGGCAGGGTCTGTAGATGTCAGTTGGGTGAAGCTAGAGTAGCGCTGTGACGTGGGTAATGGAGGAGACGTTGCTGGGAGGTCTCTGGGCAGCTAGTGGCAGTGTGTGGCTCAAGGCTGCCCTGCAGTAGCTCAGCCCTGTTCTTTTTTTTATTTTTTGAGAACAGGCCTCCTTATGCAGCCCTGACTGGAACAGAGATCCCCCTGCTTCTCAGTGCTGGGATTAAAGGCACCACACCCCGCCTCCCAGCCCTGTTCTTAGAGCCACTGGAAGCATTCAGAAGTAGGTAGATGGATGGTAAGGTGACTGCAGTGGACGTTGTGTCTGTTTGCCAGGAGGCCAGGTGGGAAGCTGCTGGGAGGTAAATGCGTTGTTCAGAAGCTCATCAGCTAGGGCAGCCATCCCTGGGTTCTGGATATTTCTAGTACACATCCACTAAGCTGGGATCTTGATGAACTGTGAGTCAAGACTCCCACCACTGCTTCCTGGGAGGGCAACTCGACTCCACTCTTCCCCTAAGAGATACTTGGCAACATATAAAGACATGGTTGCTGATATTTAGCTGGTAGATGTTGCTGAGCATTCCATAGATCACAATACTCTCCTATAACATACCCAGTCCAAAATGCCAGTAATGCCAGGTTTGAGAGCCCTGTTTGGTAACACTCACACACCGAATTAGCCATTTTATAAGACTGTTCAGAGTGCTGTGGTGCATGAGGGAACCACTCACATCTGAGTGGTAAGGACAGCTGCTTACAAGGTGGCACATTTGGGATTTCAGAGGAGGAGCAGGAGTTTTTCCAGAACAGAATTTAAACAGGTACAGGGTGCAGGGAGAGTAGTAGTCAGGAAGCAGGTGTGAGCTGCACGTGGCTTAGCTGCGTGGCTTTGGAGAGGAGCAGGGAGGGCTATCACAGTCAGCTTCAATGTAAAAGTGCAGTGCAGTGCACGCATGAGGCTAGTGGGGAGATGGCCATCCTTCCTGGTTTGTTCTCAGTGGGCTGTAGATAGGAAGGTACAGAAGCAAGGTGTGTATCTTGACATTGCTGGTGATGGGGACTGACTGAAGCTTCCAGATCACACCAGAGTGCTCCAGCCCCGTTCCAAGGTGTCCTCAGAAGTGACCACCCTACCCTTGCTACAGGCCCTGGCTCCACCCAGCATGACAGCCAGATGTCTGTCACCATGGCAAGCTGATTCCTGGTATCAGCCGTGGTAGGAGAATGGAACCAAATGGAGGAAGAAAGGGTCTTCCTCCCAGAACAGGTCTGGGTCACATCTAGCCAGTATTGCTGTGCCTTGACTTTTCCAGCTGTGCATTAGGGTAGTGTCAGGCGCTTTCAGAGCACAGGTGGACGGCTCCGCCCAGTGTCTGTGAATACAGGGTCTTCATGGTGATGGTGAGTCATGTGAGTCCTGCCTTAAGGTACTCCACTTAGTACAGAAGATAGGTGGGGTACCAAAAAGATGTCTGGCCCAAATAATGTGGATGTTGGGGCTGGGCAAGATCACTTCAGTGTGGAGGAGTTGACCTTTGCCCCATCTTAGGCTACAACTATGAAAGGGCTGTTGGGGTTTGGGAAGGAGGAACAGGGAGACTTTCCAGCAGTGATTGGTGAAGGATGGGCCACATGAAGGGTGGAACAGGAAAAGACTTTGGACCCTGGAGGGCTGGTGATTGTGGTGTGGAGCAGGAGCTGGGAAAGGTGTGCTGTCTCCTTTGCGCAGTCCGGTCAGTCCGTACACCCTGAGTTCTTGGATCTTGGCTGGTCAGCCTGTGAGCCACAGCGGATGTTCACTGCTGGGGCGGCACAGCATTGGGGTGGGGGTTCTGAAGGAGGGAGCAGGTCAGACTCAGTTCTGTTGTTAAAATGGTATGGTCTAGGGCCAGGCATAAGTTCTGCTCTGGAAGCTGGAAGGCTTGTGTACCACTTTGGAACTGTGTTACTGCCGTAACGGGGCTGCCCTTGTCACCAGCCCTGCACGTGGTATACACAGGCCTGGCCATAGCAAGATCTGCTCCTAGGCCCTGCCACCTCCAGCCTGGGCGTGCTTGTGTCTACCTTGCCCGGGTGAGTGGAGGGCTTCCCGGGCGCTTGTGGTTTCCAGACCTGTGGCAATTGAAGAAGCATTCGAGAAGCCCTCTTTTCAGCACAGCACTGTGGTACAGTGACTTAAAGGTTTAGTTTGAAGATGCCCTGAACTGTTTGCATGTGCCAACAGGTTCTGACTGGGCTGTCAGCTGAGTTAAGAGGACGGCTTGGGCTTACCTCAGGTCTGACCTCATCCCACCCCTTCCACCTCCTGAAGGCTGAGGGAGCTGTGGCAGGCCGTGCTGCATGTTGCATCTCCTGGGAGCTTGTTCCCAGGATGCATTTATACACAGTATTCCCAGAAGAGAGGCCTGTGGCTCCAGGGCACACAGGAGGCTGACTGACATGTCTGGGTGTGGCTTAGTGGAAAGTAGAGGGATTGGTTGGATAAGTGGTTGTCACTAATGCTACAAAGGACAGGAAGAACTGGATTGAAGGTGTGAGCAGTGGGAAGATAAGGTCTGGAGCTGTGAGGAACACTGAGCAGCCCCAGTGGAGAGCTGCACCTGGGAGGACTCAGTTTCCATGGGGCGGGTAGCACCCCCTGCTCTGCCAGGAGTCCTGTGTCCTCTGACTGCTGGACACTGTTCTGAATAATGATCCCAGACCCCTTTGGAGGCCTGGACCCTCCACACAGCAGTAGCCATTCCCTGATGCTCCTGACATTGGTGCTAGAACTCTTCCTATCTCCTCGTCCCCATTCCCAAGACTGCAGGAGGGGTACTGGGAGACAGTGCCTATCGGGGCGGGGTAAGGGGTGTGTGATCCCTGGCTTCTGGTCTGGATGGAGCCTCATACAGAGGGACCTGGGGCATCCTGCAGGGAAGCCATCGGTTTCTAGCACTAGGAGTGGCTCCTGTTGTGAACGGAGGCAGGTGGGAGGCGGCTGCTGACTCAGATGTAAGTCATTATCTGTAATTTGGAGTCTCTCCCCCAGTTGTATTTAGAATACAAACGGGAATGTTCCATGAGGGAGAGTGAGTGATTCATCCAGCCCTGGGGTGAGCCCCTTGGGGCTTTACACACCCCTTGCGGGGCCCTGACCATTTAGGGTCAGGAACGGTAGGACAGAACTTCCTCCCTTGGCCTCTGCGTCCTCTTCCTCTATCTTGGGAATGCCATTTCCCACCTGCTTTTTTTCTACCCTGAGAAGGCGGTGCAGCCCCTGAGGCGGTCACCCCATTTCAGACCTAGTGAGGGGTTAGCAGTCCTGTCAGCTGTAGGTGGGGATAGGCCTGTCCATAGTGTAGGGGAGACCTGCACTCACCATGGAGCCTGTCTTCCCAGGTCAGACAGGTGCTGTGAGGGAGAATGTTGTGAGGGTGCTGGTCAGAATGTTAAACATGAGCTAATTGGAGTAGGAGGAACCCTGTTAACCACATCATTGTAGAAATCCCCTGCTGGCCTCTGACAGGCCTGTGGTCCCTCCAGGCCAGCCCATGGCAGTGCCTCAGCTGCTCTCCTTGGGGCTGCCTTTTCTAGAATGCCTTTGCTGTGTAAGGGTCAGGTAGGGCGTGGTCTTTCGCTGCTTTTTCATGACTGGGGCCTGGAGATCCATCTTGTTAGGTGTTAGTAGTTTCGTCCTTTCTGTGACTGAGTAGTGTTGTGTTGAAAGCTGGATGTACCCACGTAGTTTCCCTGCTCACCTCTTGTCCTGGGGCTTTCCTGGAGGCCTTCTGTGGATGTGCCTTTTCTTTTCTCTTGGTGAAGTACCCAAGTGTGGAATTGATCCTGAGCATGTTTTTGCCCTTACAAGTAATGCCAAGCTGTTTTCCAGCTGTGACACTTCACATTTCTACCCTCCATCCTCACTACACTGTGTCCCTGTCTTCTCATGGACTTCCAGGGATGCAGTGATGGATCCATTCCCCCAAGTACTTGTTGTCATGCTTGCTTACCATTCACAGTTCCTTTGTGATTTCATTAGCAAGTGCTTATTCCAAAATGGACTACCAATCACATTTAATGAATAATGCTGTGTTCAGTCAGTGAAAGACTGCCAACTTTCCGCACCCCACACCATGTATAGCACATTGTTTGCTAGGTGCTGTGATGGCCTTCGGGACGGCACATTAAGCAGGTCACAGAAACGTGGGAGAGGAAAGGGCATCGGGGCTGCAGTGTGTGAAGGGGCGGGCTGACCAGCTTTCCACACAGGCCCTAGGGGTGCAGTAATTGCTTTGGAAACTTAGAAATATCACGGGAGGTGGCTTGGGAAGCATCATAGAGGAGGTGCGTTTGAGATGGGGATGGTAGTAGCAGGCAGGGGGATGTGGACTGTCAGGAGAGCAGTGCACAGAGATGAAGTGTGTTCAAGGCACAATGCCCTGCTGGAGGTCGGGTGGTCTTACTTTGTGGAGTGGGGCCAGTGTGGCATCCCATGACAGGAATAGACAAGCCTCTGAGGTCTTGGGAGGAAGACAGGCAGGACCCGCAGGGAAAGCTACTCAGACGCACGCATGCACGTACACACCCCACATACACACCCTGCTTCTAGTCGGGAAGTGGACTCTTCCCAGAGAGCACTGGTCTATGGAAAGCTGACGGCAGGAATCAGGACAGACAGACAGCCTCATCTTTACTCCTTCAAGAAAGCTTGACTGAAGAGGCTAAAAGCATTTGAATGTGAGGTGATTGCCTGGCTGTGTGTGTTTTGGGAGGGGGGTGGGGTGCAGACATCTACTTGTAGTAAATGGCATGGCCAAACCTCATGATGAATGGAGATGTTTCTAGTGCCATTGCTGGCCCCATTCTTTCCTCAGAGTCCAGCCAGCTTTTAATCTGTGCTATGGGAAGGTGTGGGGTTTCTGTCAGAAGTCCTCAGCCCCATACCTGCTCTGCTCCACAACATCAGGGCCAGGAGCTGTCTTGGAGCAGATCCCAGGGGGCTTTTGGGTAAGATCGGCCCTGCACAGAGGAAGCAGCTTGGGGGTCAGACGTGATGGGCTAGGTGAATTTGGTATCAGCTGACAGCTTCCCACACAGACCCATGGAGTTTCTCTAATGAAGCTTTGTTTATGTGATGTCCCAGAAGTCTCTGTTCACAGTGGGAGTATGGAAAAACAGGAGGTAGAACCTGCCTCTCCTTCCATCACCAGTGGGCTGGGGTCAAGTGGGTAGGTAGCTTACGATCTTTTTCTGTGCCAGTCTGATGTATTGTGTGTCCTTTTCCCCTGATCATGGGTTGGGGAGCTCGCTGCTCCTGGTGCCTGTGCATTCCTTCTGTTCATCCTGCACCCTTCTCCCCACAGAACCCCGCCATTGCTGACATCTACACGGAGCATGCCCATCAGGTGGTAGTGGCCAAGTATGCACCCAGTGGATTCTATGTCGCTTCTGGAGGTAACTTCACGAGCACCCCTGGACGTGTGGTGTAGCCTCGGTGGTGCCTGGCACTAAGCTGCCTGCTGGCTTGGGAAGGTGGGGAAAGGAAGGCTAGTTGAAGGCTCAGAAGATCACCTTTAGTTAGGGTTGAAGAGAAAAATATAAACCACCATAGAGCCCATTGCAGACCGAGAATGGGCACTGTAGTTCACAGTGTTCCAGTAAGTTCCAGCTCAAAGTCAACAGAAACTCTCCTCTGAGAGGCCAGGGGCCTCTGGGTACCTGTCCTGTGCTGTTAGAGCGTGGTGTGAGTGCCTGCCGGAGTGTCAGTATACTCCCTGCTCCTCTCCAGCCAGCCTCGGAACTGGAACTGCGTTGGCATCGTATTTGAGGACTGGCCTGTGACCCCTGCAGCCTGGGCTTCTTTGTGGCTCAGTGGACGGCTGGGGCTGTGAGGGGGACCGTTGTTTACATTTGTAGGAGTGTTATTACGTACAAGATGGAGGTGGAGAAGATAGAGGGGTGCACCTCACTTCATTCATTCAGACACTCCAGCAGATAACTTAGGGCCTTCTTAGCCTTGCTTCCGGTGCAGGGAGGGTCATGTGACGAGCGACAGTGGGGACTGAGTGCCCAGAGCCTTGCCCAGAACAGGGAGGACCAGGAATTTTAGGTGCTGTAGCCATCTTTGTTGCCACTGCCCTCGCACCCTTCCTGAGCTGTGTGTGTAGGAGATGGTGAGCTGAGGCCTGGGAGGGATCCTGGCTCAACCCCTTACCAGCTGGGTAACTTACCTTCTTGTACCTCGATTTTCTTTCTATAAACTGGGGCTACAAGTACCTCCCTTCCAGGGGCTGGGAAGGCTCCAGTGAAGGGATATGCGTATGGTACGTAGTAGCACAAGTCCTGCTGGGTGACCATGGCGACTGTCACTGAAACTGCAGTGCACTTCAGAGAGAATGGGGTCCTGTGCTGGTAGGACAGTAGGTTGCTGTGGGCATTGGCATTACAGTTAAAGACTGAACTGGGACATACTAGGCTTGATGGCTTTTGTGTTTAGACCTGCTCCAACTCTGTAAAACCTACTCAGATCCCATGATTTATTATAACTTTGTGGGTTTGGTTTGGTTTGGTTTGCTTCTGGTCTTGTTTGCCAGAAAAATGTCTCTTACACTTAAGTCCCAAGATTTGGCTGAAGTTCCTTTTTAAATTTTAATATAGAACAGGGTCCTCTGAGAAATTTCTTCTCAAGAGGAGGGTTGCTGGTGAGAGCAGCCACCCAGCTTGACATAGCTGCTACCTTGTCAGCAGCATGCGGAAGCTTGTGGGCCAGGCCTGCCTCCCCCATCCCTGGGGGGGCTTTTGAACAGGACTGAAAGTGATGGCCTTCAGAGAATGCAGGACCACGTAGAAGGCTGGCGCAGATGCCGTGGGAAGGGACAGTCGCAGAAGTGGCTGGTATTGGTATGGCTTTGATGGTCTCTTAAAGCACCCTGGTTTGGTGGCAAAACCAAGGGAACACGTGGGTAGAGATCACATTTCCACGTCTCCAGTGCACTTCTGTGAGTAGAGCAAAGTGATTAAGGGTTACAGTAGAACATTTGCTATAGTAGTGAAGGCCCTGAGCTAAAAATAGTGTTTGGTTTAAATTGAGAAGGGAGTAGGGAAGTTTAAGAAAGCCTGCTGTACCCGGTGTTACCCGGTACTGGTGTGCCCAGTGGGTTTAAGACCCCACTACCCCATGAACCTCCACATCTCCCTCCCAGCTGGGGCTCCAGCTCCCTTCTAGATCTCTGGATGCTGTCAGTCTGTTTGGCCAACAGCTGCTAGAAGCTTCTGCAGGGATACTGTGGGAGGGGTCTGTGTCTGTGGGACCCCTGTGGGAAGGTCCTCTGAGCACAGGTCATTGCCAAGGCAGCCTCCATTCTCTTCAACAGCATCTTCCTGATGCTGACCTGTCCCTCTGTCCCCCGACACTTGGCAGCGATTCCCAGATAATCCTCAGGGTGGAGCAGGGGCCATGAAGCAGGATGTCTGATTGGGCCCTATGCCCAGGACAGGCTTTCTAAAGGAAGACCTATCTGCCTAGTGATGAATGTGGGAAGCGAGACTGCCATGAGCTGAGACCTCCTTGGGGACTAAAAGCCACTCCACTCACCCCTCCTCCCTCTGTACCACCCGTGGTGTCTGCCGAGCAGCTCTGTGCTCAGCACTATACTTGTGGGGTGTGCAAATGATGCAGGCACGTGGGAATGGCTGCTGTATGAAGTGCTCCCTGTCCTATGTGGAATGGCTGCTGTGTGGTTTATATGTCCCAACTGATCTTGGTGGTGGTCCTCCTGGGTATTTCCAACCCTTCATGACCCTCCTGGGTCTGGACATTAGCCCTGAGTTTACGTGTAGTGAGGGGACTCCATAGTTCATGGCCCACTTGTAACAAGGACTGACTGCACTCTGAGACTTGACATGTGTGACTTCTTTTTGCCCTCACAGCAGTCCCACAAGATGGCCCTGTTCATTCCCCCTTATAGGTAATGCTTTTACAAAGAGGCCATGTGGCCCTAGTGAGGCCCATGGAGCCTCTATCTGGCAGAGGCCAGATCTGATCCCTGGACACTACTGGCTGCTGCCCTCCCTTGGCTCTGTTGAGCCCAGAAAGCAAGGCTGTTTTCAGCCTCTGCTACTCTCTCCAGTACTCCCTGAAATGACCTGGCATCCTTGGGCAAAGCTGCACCCTACCTGCCTGCTTAAAGCCAGGTGGGGCTTGTGAACTCAAAGAGTTAGGGTGAAGCATCCCACGGCGCAGGCACTGCTCATTTGGGAAGGGCTGGGTCAGGGCACGTACTTGGCAGGGTTATGGTAGGCCCCAGTATTGCTTTCTTTGCATCTGCTGGCAGCGCTCCAGGGAGAGTAACCTGCACCGCAGTCTGTGCCATTCACAACGCCCACCTCATCTGTCTCACAGAGCATCTTAGCCCCAGCTCGTACGCATGGGGTGGCCCACATTTGCGGGAGACTGAGACTGCGAATCTTCCCCGACAGCTGCCGCGCTGCAGGAGCCAGGTGGCCACAGGCCATTGCAGCATCGCAGGTTGCTCAGCTCTACCTGAACCTGACAGGAGAGGCAGGCCCTGCCGCACACAGTCAGTCGACTCCGCACGTGGAGGGTTCCGTGGAATGCCGTGGAGGCTGTGTGTATGCTCCTCAAGTCATAAGGGAAACTGCGTCAGTGAAACGAGGCTCACCCACCCTGTTGTCCTGCAGATGTCTCTGGGAAACTGAGGATCTGGGATACCACGCAGAAGGAGCACCTCTTAAAATATGAGTACCAGCCTTTTGCTGGGAAGATCAAGGACATTGCCTGGACTGAAGACAGTAAGAGGATCGCCGTGGTCGGGGAAGGAAGGGAGAAGTGAGTTGTTCGTCTTGGTCCCTACCCCGCCCCCACCGTTTGACCCTTACCTGTCCCTGGTGGGAGGGGACTATGGTAAGGTCTGTGTCAGTGTGGACGAGTGTAGCTCAGCTGACAGCTCTCTAGCTGCCTTCCGGTGATGTGACAAGCTGGAGCCCTTGGGTCCCTTAGAGTTGTGACAGAGACTCCACATCAGGCAGGGCCTAGGCACCTTCTCTCTCCCCTCCCTGATGTCCTGAGCCCTTCACCCCCTGAACTCAGTTGTTAAACCCATATCCCAGATGACAGGAAAGGGCCGGATCTTGAAAGTGTTGCTTTATTGGGGGAACACTTGAAGGTGCAAGAGGGTCTGGATGTGTTTTTTTTTTTTCCCCCACTAGCTAGGCATGTCACCTGAGGTCCCCTGAGTATAACAAAGGGGCAGACAGATCCTGCTGGGGTGGGACTTGTGGCCCACAGGGTCAGTGCTCCAGCCCAGGTTTTCTCAGTGCTCCAGCCCAGGTTTTCTCATTCAGCAGCAAATCGTAACTACAGCAGTACATGGTTATGAGTGCCAGCACAGAGTCGGGCAGTTCTCGCACCAGGAGATGGTGCACTGTATTTCTTGGTTCCTCCAACAAAACTTAGAGCAGCGATGAGGCCGGAAAGGTGGTCAGCTGCAGCTGCTGCTCAGGCACCTTCCTTGTTCCCGTGCTGGCCCCGCAGACATGGACAGGCGGTTCCTTCCCTAATGGTGTTTGGTTGTCCTACTGTTCTTGTATGCCAGCGGACATACAGCTTGAAAGGCCAGCACCACAGACTTTCAGGCATGTGCTCTGAGTCTCCTGAGCTAGACATGCAACGTCAGCCCCTGGCCTGTGCCCCAGCAACCCTGCTGTCACTCCTCCTCGACTTTCTGGGATTGACTTTTTTTTTCTTGACTCTTCTCGTGGGTAAAGGTTTGGTGCTGTCTTCCTGTGGGACAGCGGTTCCTCTGTGGGTGAGATCACAGGACATAACAAAGTCATCAACAGCGTGGACATCAAGCAGACCAGGCCCTACCGGCTGGCAACAGGGAGTGATGATAACTGTGCTGCCTTCTTTGAGGGCCCCCCATTCAAGTTCAAGTTTACAATCGGCGTAAGTGGACTCTTTTTTTCTTGCAGTGGTTTTTGGGTCAGCTTTGTGGTTTATAAGAAGTGTCAAGGCAGATGTGTTCAGATGCTGATGCAGGAGTGTCACAGTCTGTGCTCAGTACTGTGATGTGTAGAAAGGACGGTTCAATGGAAGAAATAGAGGTGAGGTTGTTCCTCTGCCCCCAGCCCTCATAATCCTGGCCCCAGACTGGGCACGAAGGGTCTAGCAGGAAAGGTGTGTCCCAGGACTATGTGCTGTGTGTGGTATGAGGGTAGCAACATCTCCAGCATCCTTGGCTCTGTGAACCTCAGACCTGAGCCACTATATGAGCAGAAGTGCTATTTCTAGGACGTCTGGATGGGTCTCCAAGGTGCCTCTGCAGAGGCTGTGAGAGCAGAGATGGCCCTGGAGTAGTTGCACCTGACTGGAGAAATGGCTTCCATCCAGGGAAAATGCACCCTATGCTTTGTGTAGCATTGTTGGTGTTGGGTAAATGGCACATCTCAGGGTCCCTGTTCAGCAGTTGCCCTGACTTGGCCAAGTGCCTGGCCTCATGTCTCCCATCGCAGAGTGATGGTGTGTAGGGCCTCAGCATCTGAGCTGACCTAGTAGTGCTCCTTGCCCTGTCCTTGCTCCCAGTAGTCAGGCTGGCATGCTGGAATAAGGGTGTGTGATGGGGGTAGTGGCTGTGCAGCCCCAGGCAGCCCTGCACCAGTGTGCTGGTCCTGGCTTCCCAGTGCCCCTGTGCACAGACCGTGGGAAAAGCAGCCAGCACCAGGCTGATAAGAAAAGATGAGTAACCACGTTAAACCAGGAAGGGCAGACATATCTTTGTCCCTTGGAGGTAGTTGAGTTTGGGGCTCTTCCAAGCTCCTTAGACTCATCCTTCAGGAATGTCAGGAGTTTCAGTGCCCGAGCATCACAGGGGATTAAATGAGATAATGTCCTTAAAGTGGCTTGCTGAGGAAGACTGTTTATTTTAGTAACGTAACGCAGCAAGTCATAAATAACAGGCCCAGCATCCCTGGCAAAGGCAAGAACAGGACTCCTGCAGTGGGCACTTTCCAGAAATGGCTTTTGGCCTGGGGTACAGACAGCTACCCAAGGGATTCCCTGTTCGTAGTGAAGTAGGCTCTGTCTAATCCTTGAGGAAGCTCAGTGAGGTCTGGCCAGCAGTGTGTTCCTTCTGAGCACCCTGTAGTTCTGAGGCCCTGACTGCCGCAGCTGCTGCCTAACTGGTAGTTAGTGGAGGCCCAGCTATTTTGGGAGCTTTGTTGAAAGATATGACTCAAGGTCAATGTTTCTTGAGCAAGGATAGATGCTCTGTGGACTGTGGGGTGAGGAATGCTGATCCAGCCAATTGCTGAGCTCTGAACACAGGGAAGGGACGAAGTAGTAGTTTCTATGGCAGCCAGAGGCTGTCCTGGCTGTTTCCAGTGATGCCGTCTGCCTTCCCCAGGCCTCCCACACACACTGTTTGAACTCTTAGCCTTGGTCTGGCCTGTTTGTGGGTGGGGGTTCCCTGCCCTGCCCAGGGGTGATCTTTACTTTCACACTTGGGTTAGACGCAGCATGAAGCAGCTGAAGGATGCTCAGTGGACCAGGGTTTGTTCTAATGAGCAGCCTGTGTCCATACTCTCCAACAGTGTCCACTCGTTAGAGGCCTAGCTCTGATAGTCTCCTGTCACTTTCCGACCCTGGTACATAGTTCCCACACAATCCTGGTTCCTGGGGAGGCCTAGGAGAGGCAGAAAGGGCTATGAACTGAGGTGGAGAGCTCCTGGGTGATACCTGGCTCAGAGCTGGCTGGCACTGCAACCTTCAGGCTGGGTGTGCCTCCGGGTTCCCCCCGACCAGGTGCTGGCCCCCTCTCCAGAGCCCACACCTGTAGGGAGAAGTACTCAAACCCTAGTGACTGCCTACGTGGTCATTACCAGAGGTGGTTCAGGCTTCCATCTAAAGTAATTACTACAGGCTTGACTGGCCATAAGAGACAGGGCTCTTTGACACACCTCTGCCCAGAGAGCCTGGTAAGGTACTGGCGACTTGAGTCAGTAACTGCAGATATGTGTGACCTTGACCTGCTTGTTGGCAAGAATGAAGCTGCCGTTGTGGTACTGGACAGTGGCTGGCTGCCCTGCTGTGACCTCCCCCCTGCTGTGACCTCCCGGCTTGTCGGGTAGAGTAGGGTAGACTAGACTCTCTGATTTGCCCCAACTGAAGGGCAGGTGTGAGGTAGGTGGGAAACAGTGGGGGACATAAAACAGGTGAGGCTGTGTGGTAAAGGTCCGGGCTGAGTACCTACATGTGGGTTCTAATGCAAATCTGAAGCTGGGTGTGGAGGTTCAAAAGGATTGACCCTTTTCCTAGTGAAAGTTTTAAAAATTCAAATGTGTGAAGGGTTTTCCTTTTTAGAGGAAATCAGTTCTTTTTACTGTGAAATCCAAATTGCAGTCTTTGGGCCCCAAATCTTTCGTAGCCCATGAATACTGGGCATCAGGGTTACCTATCACTTTCTCCATATGTCTGTAGGCCAAGTGGCCTGTGCTTGCTAGAGCCTTCATCCAAATAGGCAGCCCACAGACCTCTCTGTCCTTGTACCCATCCATCCAGACCCACATCGGCCCTCTACCCCACAGCCTGTCCAGGTGAGAGACCTTTGGGGCGTGAGGTGAACAGAAGCCCTGTGGGAGCTTTTCTTGGGCACCATGGCAAGAGAATGCATGGCATGTAGCTAAGACAGGGCATAGTCAGGGGGAGAGTTGACAATCCTGCCTCCAAAAGAAGTTGCTTGGAATTTCTGTACCATGTGTTCTGCAGCCGCCCTGCGATGCTCCAGCCGCAAGGAAAACACCCAGAAGGAAGCACAGGAGGAGGCAGAGGCCACGTCTCCACCTTCCACCTTGTTGGCTCAAGTCTGGGAGTCATGTTGCTTTCTCATTGTTAGAGCTGGGTATAGACTCAGGCTTCTCTAAACTGAACCGAACCTGGGTTCTCCTGTAACTAGACTTCCCCTGTGCCCTCTGACACACTTGGGTGTGGTCCATGGTTGAAGGTGGGGTGGAGAAACATCTTTGCTGGAGTAGGTCCAGTTTTACCACCCTGTGTTAGATGCAGTAGCTAACCCTTCAGGGTCGCAGGAAGGCAGGAAGGAGGTAGAGGAGGTTGCAGCCCCATCACATTCTGCCAACAAAGGACAAAGGCTTAGGTTCCCCAGGGGTCCCACCGTGGGCATAGGGGCAGGGTGGACTGTTTCCCGGCTGCTGGCCTTGAGGAACTTTTGATGCCACATGCATTTCTCTGGTAGATGCATCTGGATGTGTGATAAAGGCTGTGGGTCTGCCACTGTTCCTCTCCAGCTTCCCACCACCACCTACATCAAGTCAGTCTTTGATTGCTTGGGTGACCAAGATTTTTGCAGCTGTATCAACATCATGGTTCCAGGTGTTAGCTGGATGGGACAGTTGGTCCAACCATGGCCTGTGCTGGGCTAGGCCAGGAGGGGCTACTGGGCACACAGGTCACATCAGAGTCGGGATAGGCATTTAGGAAGGCTTCTGCAGAGGACATGAGCTGACCCAGGTAGTTGGCATGTCCACAATAGGCCACCTAGAGCCTAAGTCCTGTAAGTCCGTGAGCTTGAATTTATTCTTTATTCCCTAATTGTTTCAAGCCTGTTTCTTTGGTAGCTAAAAGAAGATGGTGATGGGGAAGTGTAGACAATGGAGGGGAGCATAGTAGGAGGTGGAGGGAGGGTTCTTGGGGTCCTCATTGACACAGCTTACTCCTGAATTCAGTGAGCGCTGACCACAAGGGCCTTGAAATAGTCACAGAGGTCCATCCACACAGGGACTCCTGAGACTGAACCTTTGAGGGTACAGTGTGATCCATCTGGGTGGCTGAGGCAGAGATCAGGAGTTGAGTCTGGCTTAGTAAGTGGCAGGGGTCAGACAGCTACATGAGGCAGCGAAGCCTCTGGGCTGGAGACATTTTCCCAAACTCCATACTGCTGGGCCTCCCTGTGGGAAATGCTATTTTTAGCCCTCTTTTTCTTTTGACTAATGGGCTACTGCTGGCTGATCCCTGTCTGCAGAGGGTCTATTTCAGGAGCAGATAGTCTCCTGCCCATGTGGTGTCTGTATCTGGAGAGCTGGAGGAAGCAGCTAGTGGGCTAAGGCTCTAAGGCAGATAGGATGCTGGTGTTCACGTAGGCCCCACCACACAGGATTGCCTGCGTTGTCCAGCCTTCACGTGGCCCCGTGCTTATAGCCATGCGGTCTCTTGGACATACAGCATCGACTCTGCCAGCTTGTGCATTGGATAAGAGAAGTTCCCAGAGGTAGAGACTTTGAAGCTCAGCCACAGACTTCTGTTTGAGGCCCCGCAGCCTGGGTGTCCAGTCTTGCTTCCCAGGAACATCCTGCTTCTGGCCCAACTAGGCATGTAATGGGCACATCCATGTCTGATCTCAGGGAACCAGTGACATTGGAGTTGGTTAGAGGCTGGAACTGAGCAGTGGCTGTGTACCTTCCTCTAATTTGTGGCATGCTCCTTACAGTGACAAATGTCAGTGCCTCCCTGAACCACCCTGTCATCTCCAGGCTCTGCTCCACGGGGATGAGTACTTTGGGCCTCCCAATTCTTGAGCACCATACTCCCCTTGTCCAGGCTGATGGGTCCAGAGATGAGCTGATTCCTTTATCCCCTTTCTATAGAATAAGCAGTACAGGATGCAAGGAGCTAGTAGTCTGAGATCCAGGAGGAGAGTGAGACACGTGCTTGTTGAGGGCATAGGGCTAGCTCAGGGTAGCTGAATGCTCTGGTCTAGTTGTGGTGTCATCAGTAACTCCAAGTTGTTTGACCCAACCCAAAGGAGGTATATATTCCATCCAGCCCCCACCCCATGGTCAGTAAGGGTTTTGACTCTGAGCCCTCCTTCCACCATCTTTGAGCCCTATGGCTGATAGGTCCGTGGCTCTGGCCCTCAGTGTACAGCTGGTTCCTTTGTACCAGAGATGGATTCCAGAATGGGGTGTAGTCGACCTGCAGAGTTAAGGGTCTGACTGTTCGTGTGGCTCCCAGCCAGAGCATGCCCAGTCCGGCTAGTGTAGGGAAGACAGTGCTGGGCAAGAAACTGGAGCCCAGATTTTCACAACTGACGTAGCTTATGTTACCCAGCTTCTGTGGTCCTGGTTGTCCCTGTGGCCCCTATATGTGGACCAGTGACAGGTGGCAACAGTGTTGGAGCTAGAAGCAGTTAGGGCCTGTGAGACCCTAACTTGGAAAGACTCTGGGTTCATGCCATGTGGTAGGTTGTGCCTACTAGAAAATATAGTGAAGTGGGTGAAGTTAGGCCCTAGAACAGGATGGAGGTATGAGAGGAACTGGAACGCAAAACAGCAGGTGAACGCAAGCAAACACAAGCAAGAGGTTCTCTGGCTTTAGAGCTGGTTCCACAGTGCCGTCGGTGCCTCCTAAGACTGGGTATAGCCCTGGCTCACCCAGGATACTTCTCAGCCACTCCAACTCTTGCTCCTGATGAAGGTCACAGTCACTGCTTAATTTCTGTGAAAAGTCATTTGTTCTTCATCCAACACCCGCAGAGCTGGGCCTTGACTGGGCCTTAGAGGAGAGGTCTCGTGGTCTTGGCTGTCTCAGAGCCCAGCAGTCTAATGTATACGTTTTCTGGGGGCCCCGAGGGAAGAGGATGCATCAGGGGACACTTGATAAGGGTGGCAAGCCTGGCTGAAGAGTGGCCTCAGACAGCAGTCAGCAGGAGCAGCCAGCAGGCTAAGCTGACCCCTAAGGCAATGCCTGGGAGTATTTGTGCGCTCTGGAGGTTCCTATGGACTGATGATGTTTCACGGAGAGCTTTGTCAGTCTTGTCAGGTATGTAACAGGCTTTTCTCCCACAGGACCATAGCCGCTTTGTCAACTGTGTGCGGTTCTCTCCTGATGGGAACAGATTTGCCACAGCCAGTGCTGATGGCCAGGTAAGGATTGGGGCAGAGAAGGGAGTAGTGAGCAGCAAGTTCATGGGCGCTCTCCCTGCTCTCCACATCCCAGGGTGTCACTAAAGCTCACAGAGACGCTGGGTTATATGGCAGGCTAACTACTGAGGGAGTTAACGCCACACCTGGTATTCATATCCATTTGTTTCTTGGAAGATATACATCTATGACGGGAAGACGGGGGAGAAAATATGTGCCCTTGGAGGCAGCAAAGCCCATGATGGAGGAATTTACGCTGTGAGTAAATTGTTTCTTGACTTGCTGGTTTTAATTTGGCCAATTCCATGTTTACAGCCATCAAAGCTTTGAAATTAGATGTAAACTTGGTGTCAGCTGCTGAGTGTTGAGCCGAGGCACAGAGCCTCAAGGCCAGGGTCAGGTGGGGGAACAGCCAGTAGCTAGAGCAGGAACCCCAGGGCTGGGTCCATCCACCACCTCCTGGGCTTTTTCTATTGGGCTATGGTGGCCCCAAGCAGCAGCTCTGGGGGGCCTCGTCTCACTCTGAAACCCTCTGACAAGAGATACTGTTTTACTGGAGTAGATCAGTTGGAGTCCTGATAGCACCCATTTGCTCTCTGCCTCTGGAGACAAAACCTCTAAGATTTGGGATGTCAACGTCAACTCTGTGGTCAGCACGTTTCCCATGGGCTCCAACGTTCTGGACCAGCAGCTGGGCTGCCTGTGGCAGAAGGACCACCTCCTCAGTGTCTCCCTTTCTGGATACATCAACTACCTGGACAAGAACAACCCCAGCAAGCCCCTGCGGGTCATCAAGGTGCGTCTTCCCTGGGTAGTGGGCAGGGAAAGGACCCACGTGGCCTGCTGTGGAGATGCCAAGCCTTCTTGATGAGCCCAGACACAAGCCCCCTGTGCACTTGGGATCTGGGGACTTTAGGGCAGTGGCCGTCGCTCTCTGCTGCTAGGAGTCATTACTTCTGAGTGGCTTGGCCTTCCTCCCGGTTAGGAACTCTCACACTGTGCCTCACATGCCTGCGGGGTAAGACGAGGAACATTCTGGGTGCCAGGGCTGGTGATAGAGCATTGAGGGTGAGGCAGGGGACTAAGATGGTTGGGGTCCAACTGGGAGTGGAGGAGATGGTCTTGGGTCTGGACCATGGTGTGATTGGAACACGGGCATAAGTGTAAAGGGGACCCGGGACTCACATCAGTGGAGAATAGAAGCAGATAAAGTTGGAGGAGCTGCCAGGGCCCAGGTAGAAGCCCAAGGGCCTGACACACAGCTGAGCTTCAAAGGCGCTCTGGAGCTCCCTCTGGCTAGGTGCTGTAGCCACATTGTGCTCTCCTGGCTAGGTGGGCTTTTGCCTTCATCTGCCTCTTTGCCTCTCAGGAGAGCTACAGCCAGGTGGGGCAGAGGCAGCTCAGGATTGCCTCTGCCCCATCTTTCTGGCCAGGCCCATGGATAACGCCACAATTTTAAGGAAAGCTTTCCATAGCCAGCCAGCCTCCATTCTCCTCTCCTCTCTCCCCTCCCCCATCCTGGTGGCTGATCATTTCTAGGGCTTCCGTTTTAAACTGCTCCAATGGAAACCTGAGCCCAGCCCTTCCCTCACCACTGTAGCAGCTTACTGCTTGAACCTGTAGGGTCAGTGAAGGAAAGGGGCCTTGCTGCTCCCCCCGGCCCCAGCTTGGTGCTGGCCCTGAAGAGAGAATAGGCATATGACAGGGAATGGGTATAGCCTTGGGTGGGGTCGGTGGGAGGGGGGGTTAACACCGGAGCTCCCCAGAGACCGGCACTTGTATACTGGGCCTCCATTGTGATGGTGAGAAGTCATGCATGAGCTACATAGCTCCCCACCAGCACCTCTGCCTAGGAGAACACTGGGCATCGAGAGACTACCCATAGGTCTTGACCTGACTGCTGCTGCTCTGGGCACATCCTACCGCCAGTCATGTGGAGCCCTGATAGTGCTGCATGGTTAGCTCAACTCTGGGAATACGCTGGGCTTTTAGGTTCTCAGAAGGGAGACCTGTCCTAGCTCTCCCTTCAGCTGTGTGCATTATACCAGGTGGTGGCTGCCACTCTCATCCTGTGGAGGGCACCCAGCTATGCTGGAGGCCCAGAAGGAATTTGGGGTTGGAATACGATTCCCAGCCCTGGCTACCTGGCCTCCTCCCTGGGGAGTTTAGAAAAGGGCTTCTGCTTCCCAGAGGGGTTCACTCACAGTCACTGGGCTAGCTTTTAGGGTGCTCCTTCTGGCCTGTATTTTCTCAAGCTTGAGGGTACGTGGAATCCCCTAAGAGCACTGGCTTGTTAGATAACCCAGACTCAGGAATCTGACACTGGGGGCAGGGAGTGCCCACTTTCATGAGTTCCCAGGCAAGGCTGTTGCCCACAGGTCCCCTAGAATCTTGCTGAGCACAGGCTCTGATTCAGCAGACCAGGGCAGCCTGTCAGGTTGCTGGGTTGACCCCCTGGCTCAGTGTCTCTTAGGGGGTTGTGTAATGAGTTCCACTGAGAATTGTCACTGTTCTGTAAGTGCCATATTGTAGGGGCAAATGGGACCCACAGAAGCCCTAAAAGGCTGCAGGGAAAAAGCCCTGAGCATGAATAGGCTGGCTGGCCATCAAGTGTGAAAAATGCATGCTCACAGGGGTCCAGGGAAGGGTGAAGCTAGTGTTCTCTAAGCCCAGCTGCAGAGGTAAGAGGCCCCCTCTAGAGGATCCTGTGTCGTACACAAGGTCCCTTACCCCATCAGCAATGAGTAGTCATGGAAAGTAGGAGCAAGGAGAGCCTGAACCAGGATAGACCAGAATCCCACACCTAATCCCAGTCTGGCTGTCTCGCTCCTCATTAGGATCATAGGTGACAACAGGGGCAGTGCTTCCCCTGCTAGTGACTTGACTTGGTTTGTCAGCTCAGCAGACTGGGAGACAGTTAATTGTAGCTCATGACTTATTTGTGGGTGTTGTAGCTGCTGGAGCCCCAGAGGGCCAGGCATGCAGCCTCAGCTCACTCTGCCCTGTTGTCCCCCCACAGGGTCACAGTAAATCCATCCAATGTCTGACGGTGCACAGAAATGGTGGCAAGTCCTACATCTACTCTGGAAGCCACGATGGACATATTAATATCCTTTGACTCAGGGAGCTGGCACAGGCTGGCAGCAACTTGTTCCCACAGTACTAGAGGTAGGCTGGGCCAGCAGGTGGCACAGGCTCAGCTGCACACACTGGGCAGTGCTGGCCTCTGATACATCTGCCTGCACCTTGCGCCTTGACCACGCCAGGCCTTCCGCCACTCAGCCCTTCTTACCGCTAGCTTCACCCTTCCTGGACCCCTGTGAGCATGCATTCTTCACATTTGATGCGTGTTGCTTGATGTCTCTGAACTTGAGCTTCTTTCCTCCCTGGCTGGGGCCATCCCTGTGCCCAGCCTTTATCACAGCAGTGAAATCATTGAGTCTTAGGATTTGGGACGTAAGAGTCCCTCAGCAGAGACACTTTAACTGGGAAACTGAAGGCAAAGAAGAAAGGCGCCTTCTCAGAGCCACATGGCCAGTCGGCTGCAGAGCTCAGAGTCTCCGTGGCTCCTGATGCCTCCATCTGCCTTAAGAGGTGTAACTGGTGGGTGTATGCCGTGCTTACCCTTTGAGTGTTGGGATGTGGGTACAGAGCCTGGCACCCTCACACATCATGAGGGCAGGAGCTGTGTGTTACGCTCCACTGCCTGTTCTGAGCACACACTGTGAGACTGACCTCCATGTTGACAGCCTCCTGTCTGTGTGCCGCTCAGACCCTCCCAGCATGCCTCCCAAACATACTTTGTCTAGGGTTTCACAAGACCTCCCTGGTCTAGAGAGGATGGTGGAGAACGCCCCCTCTGCCACGAACCAAGGAGAGGTACAGCTGGTGGCCAAACAGGACCTAGGACTACTTGCATTTGCCTAGTCTTCAGCCGTTGGCACCACCAGTGTCCCTTTCCCATTGTTCGTGAACCCTCACTGGAGCTGCCTCTGTCCATGGCTGGCTTTCCATCCCAACAGCTTGTCAGCTTCTAATACACAGCGAGCTTCCGAAGGAAACAGTATCAGTCATCTGAAGTGAGATTCTCAGTTGTGTACTTAGGCCACACCCCATCCCTGAGCATTTCAGGCTGAGTCTCCCGACCACCTCTGGAAGGTGAGTCTCCCATGAGCTGTTTCAGTGTCACCTGACAGCAGTCAGCTGAGGAGTGGGGCCCAGCCAGCTCCCCAGGGTCATAGGCTCAGCTGCTGTTGCAGGAGAGGCAGAATGAACATTGGCTCGCTTGTAGAGTCCCAGCAGACGTGTGAACCATGGTGCTTCCTGGTCCCCCGTACGAGCCCTCCTCAGACGGCCTGTTCCAGAAGTGGTCAGGGATGATAGAGCACCCGAACTGAACTGCAAGGGGCCAGCAGTATTTGGGATTTGGGTTTTGTTTTTCCTTTCCCAGAGTACCTACATCAATTAGAGAGACCCATCTTGGAGTTGGGTCCCACATCTAAACATGAAATTCATTTGTTTCATGTGTGCCTTACACAGGCCCGGAGATGATAATATATAGTGTGTTCCGTGTGCATGTGTTTTTACTGCAACTACCACATGATGTCATGGAACTCCTGTCCACCTGTGGCATCATATCAACACTCAGAAAGTTAGGTTTTAGAGAGTTGTGGATTGAGGGTACTCAACCTGTATCGGCTATCATCGATTAATATGGCTGTGACCTGACACATTAGCCTGTCATGCATTCTTAGACCTTGTGGGTTTTTGCCTTGGCCCTCTGGCTTACATCCAGGCCATCCCATTGGCTCACACTGCCTTTGCTTTCTGAGACCCTGAGCTTGGCCATCCATGAGGAAGCCTGCGGTCCTTTCTGCAGTATCTTGGTGTCTGAGTGAGGGCTGGCCATGGCTTCCCCAGAACAGGCACCACCCATGAAGCCAGGCTTCTCCTTAACCACACCCCACATTACTGGGATTCAGAGACAGGGGAGAACGACTCCTTCTCTGGGAAAGGCCACACGAATCAGGTGTCCAGGATGACTGTGGATGAGTCTGGGCAGTTGGTCAGCTGCAGCATGGATGATACTGTTCGGTACACCAACCTCACACTGCGGGACTACAGGTAAGTAATACCGAAGGGAGCCAGGCCCAGAATGAGCCATGGGTGCCCATGATGGCCCCAGGGCAGGGGCAGTTTCTGTTGGCCCTTTCTGTTTGTTTTGGGGACATCGTTCTGTTGTCAGGTGCTGAGCTCCAGGACCTAGGTAACCAGGCTTGTAGGTGAGACTAGGTATACACCCTGTCCCAAAGCAGACAGCAGACTACAGTCCTGAGTCACAAGCTGGCTAGTCTCTCCTATCTCTTTTCTCCAGTAGAGGAGGTGAGCGGAGCCTTGGGCTGTTGGGAAGGTCAAGTGAGGCTCTAGGAGGCAGGTAGCCTGCCAGGTGCTCTGGATTGGAGGTGTCCTGTTTAGTTTCTCCGTGCCGTCCATCAACAGAGCTGAGAGTAGGAGAGGGAAGGATCTGAACCCTTGACTCAGAACACAGACTGTGGCCCTTGACCTCCATACCTCACTGTCCCTACACCAAGGACTATCCCTCCTTTGTCCTGTGCTGCACTTCTGGTAGAACCCATCATGACCCCATCCTGCTAGGAATGAGTCTGACCTGCAGGATGCTGGGCTGCCCGAGGGCATCTTTGTGAGACCCACCAGGGTGGGCCAGTCCTTGCTGTTTAGTCCTCACTTGTGTGGGTAATAGGGTGTCAGTTGTGAAACTGGGTGCTAAGGCTCTCCACCAACTGTCTGCTTCCTACTACCTTGTGACCCTGTTCCTAGCATGCCCCTCCTGAAGGAAGTACTCTGGCCAGGCCATGGTTGCCTGCTTCAGGAGGACTCGGGCACTCTGGGACCCAGCTATGTGGAAGTCTGCTAGTTTTACAGTTTTCTAGAAGGTGTGGATATAAATTATTCTAGATGGGTTTTAATAGCATTCAGCTAATACAAAAGGAAAATTGAATTATTAAAGATACTGAATTCTTAGTTTTCCTCCTGAGAGGAGTGGCTGTGGCCAGCAAGTAGGGCAGAGCTCAGTTTTGTGTCCCTGGGAAACTCCAGTCTTGGGCCTACAGTAGTGGATACAGCAGGTGGAATGGTGGTCTGTCAGCACTTCACATAGATGAATGAAACAGTCGGTCCCTCCGCTTTTCGCCCACTCCAGTTTACCTTCATGATACTCCTCAGAGCCCTGAAGGAGTGTGCCATCTTGTCGTCCTCTTATGTGTCAGCAAGTTGGCTCCTTCAGGATAGATTACAGCAGGGTTCCTTTTCCGCAGTCAGGTGAAAGGGTTTTGCAGTAAATGTATTGATAGCCACTCAGGTACTTGAATGTGGAGGTAACGGGTTCTCTCTCAACAGTGGACAAGGAGTTGTGAAACTGGATGTTCAGCCAAAGTGCGTCGCTGTCGGTCCTGGGGGGTATACCGTAGTCGTGTGCATTGGGCAGGTATGGCAATGTGGTAGAGGGTGTGCTGTCTAGTTTCTGAACCCCACCCGTGACCCTTGTGCTTTCCTTTTCTGTTGCTGTGATAAAACCAACTTGGGGAGGAAAGGGTTTTTTGGGCTCACGGCTCCAGGTCACAGTCCATCACTGAGAGCAGTCAGGACAGGAGCTCAAGCAGGAACTGTGGGGGAGTGCTGTGTGCTGGCGCGCTCTCTGGCTTGTGCTCCACCAGCTTTCTTAGAAGTAGAAAGCCCAGATGCTGGGCACGGGTGCCCACACCTTTGATTGCAGCATTGAGAGACAAGGCATGCCCGTGTCCCAACTGGGAAAATTGTCGGTTGAGGCTCCCTCGTCCCAGGTGGCTGTCGGTTGTGTCACATTGACAAAATAACCAGGATGACCCACTTGACATGACAGCTGTGGCCAGCGTAGGTACTGCATGCCCATGGTACTGCATGCCCATGGCTTCACGCGCACTCGGTGACGTAGTCCTTCCCACCGTCCTGCCAGCTAGTCAGAGCACTGTTCCCTAAGTGGGGGCACAGGAAGTAAATGCAGACCCTAGGGTCTGCCTGTAAAAGAGCTGGCCCCATCTCTAAGCACGAGGCCACGCTGCAGGCCCATCTGTCGACAGGTCTGAGGAACTCAGCAGTGCGGCTCTGTCGTCGTCACATCATAATCCTGCCCTGTGGAGTGGCTTGAGTCGCTTCCTCCCCCGTTGAGCTCTGGTATTCCCCCTGACAGAAGCATGATTTTTGAGAGTAAACTTAACATGCTCCTCACACAGCTTAGAGCTGTTCGGTGGTATTACCACAGAAGGGCAGGATGGGCCCAGGCCTCAGTTCTCATTCCCGTGCTGAAGTCCCTTCCTACCTTTTCCTCCGGGATGTTTGGAACAGAATGTCCTCTCTGAGATTCACAGTCGGCCTGCTTTGTGCTAAATTGTGCTCCTCCACACGTCCTCTCTCTGTAGGTTCAGGCATCCCGGCATGTGGTCAGGGATAGCAGCTGACTGGGGAGCCCTATTGGCATGAGTGACAGACCCTGCTGAAGAAAGGGCTATTGAGGGCCCACCCGCCCCTCCCTGGCTTGTGAAGCCAGTTGCTTCAGGGAGAACGAATTCTGTGTCCCAGATAATCAGATGTCCCTGCCAAGTAATTACTGCACTCAGCCTGGGGAGCCACGGGGTACAAAAGGGAGTGCACAGCGTGGGCCCTGGGCGTGCTACTTCTCATAGCAGAGCTGCAGGCCTCATCAGAGCACCTGACCTTGGTGGGCCCAGGGGTGGGCTTCCCTGTGGCAAGGCCTCAAGACAGGCAGTTCCCCTCCCAAGCCTCGGTTTGGTCTCTGCGGTTAAGTGGCCATAGGTTGACCCTGCTCTTCAGGCTGGTTGGGAAGATAGCGAGGCAGGTGAAAATATATTCAGCCTCCCTGCCATTCAGGAGGTGCTGGTGAGTGACCCCCCACGATGTCCTAGCGGGCCAAAACCCTAGCTCCCAAGTAGGTGGGGAGGAGGGGCTCTGCCATGTGCACTATATCATCTGCTGGTGGCCAATGGTGGAAGAGCTTTGGGCATGGACTGAAAGCTCTTTGTACTCCATCTTTTCTCATAGGGAACTTGGGGGAGCAGATCCCTGTGCCACCTAGGTTTAGAGCCCTCCTGATAGGTACACAGCCCTCAGTTGGTGGGCGTGAGCTGATTTTGCTTTCCGTTGCTACCTTGTTTATCACAGATTCCTTCTTCAGGAGGTATGGGCTCCTGGGTACAGACCGATACCCATTTGTGAACCCTCCCCCTAGCCTGTAGGGACTAGTACAGGATCAGGTCCCCATCTGTCTCCAAAGTCCTGTCAGTGAACACATGGAAGTGTCACCACTCAGGCTGGTGTGCCTGGGCTCAGTGCGGCTGTGTGGTATAACCCTCCCCAGACACATCTTCTGACTCTTCTAGAGTCTAGAGCAGGGCAGGACCCTGAGAACTCATCTGGGAGTAATCCCCTGTTGTACTGCCTACAGAGCTCCACCGCTGCCCTGCAGGACTGGACAGACACTTGGTGCTAGGTGTTCCCTGGGCTGGTAAAAAACATACACTAGACAGGCATTAACTGTTTCCTGTGACCTAGGATCTAAAGCCTGAGCCCTTGTGGTCATGCTGCCATCCCTGTGGGTGAGAGTTAAGTTCCTCCCTGATGCTTCTGCCCTTTGCCCTTCAGAGATTGCCACTCCATAGAGTTCAGCCACTGTACCCACAACTAACAGTAACACAGTCCTGATGAGGGTAGTAATGCTATGCCTCTGAGGCAGGAAAGGCCTCAGTCAAGATGAAGATTGACCCAGGGTGTGGCTTTGAGGCCAGAGCCCCCACTAGGGCTCGCCTCTCGTACCAACAAGCAGTGTCTTGGGCCACTGCTCTGACTGCTTCCTCTGTGTCTCACAGCTTGTCCTCCTGAAGGACCAGAAGAAGTGTTTCAGCATCGACAGCCCCGGCTATGAGCCTGAAGTTGTGGCCGTGCACCCTGGTGGGGACACAGTAGCTGTCGGAGGCACGGTAAGGCTCAGCCCTCCTGCCCTGTGACCGTGATATCTGAGCACTTTAGGGAAGTGATGGTCCTGGGGTATGAGGACTGCAGCTCAGCATCTCCCCTGCTGGCTGGGCACACCCTGCCTGGGCTCCTACCATTTGGTGTACTGCACAGGGCAGGGCAGCAGCCACGCCATCAGTGGTCAGCCAGCTGTCCTAACTCAAGGTGTCTGGGTGAGAGAGAAGTTAGGGGAGGCGTTTTCCCCGTAGTCACTCCATTTGTAGATCCTTACTGAGTATCTTCTACAAACAGCACTGGCTAGGCCACAAGGTAAGCAAAGCATCTACAGCCCTGCAGGAGGACCCTGCAGGCCCTGGATAGTGAGGATGGGTGAGTCATAGCAAGAGCACTCCTTGGCCACAGAGTTGCAGTTTGCTCTGCAAGTGGTTAGGGGCATGAAGGCAGCAGGTCCAACAAGGATGATGCCAGTGGGCTTCAAGGTGGTAGGACAGAGACAGGAATCCTGCTCGCACCTTCTGGGTACTGAAGTAAGCTGATGGCATCACGGTTTTCCTTGAGATCAGCTTCTGGTGGTCTACTCCAGTGTGATCTCCTGCCCCGTACTACCTGCAGTCTGTGTGTACAGCACAGACACCATCTGCTGGAGCAGGTGCTTCACAGACAGCTCGCTTCCTCTCCTCTGGCCATGCTGGGCTGGGGCCTCCAACTGATGGGTCTGGCAGCCGAAGTGAAAACCTTTAACTCTTGGGCCAAGTACCCACCCCGTGTCCAGAGTGCAGGGAGGTCCAGCCTGTTGAGTACAGCCACTGAGGCTCTTAGGAAGCTGGCGGTGGCCAGAGAGAGACATCAGGGACCTTTCTCACAGAACTGTCAGAGTTGGCAGACTAATCTCTGAAAAGTTCTTTCCTGGTGTGTGGAGTAGCATTAGATCTGTATAGAGCTGACCCTGCCTGACCACCAAGCAGCCACCTTCAGCCTCATAAACTGTCACTGTACCTGCTCCTGAAGTCTGCAGTGTACAGAGCCTGGGTGTCCACAGGATGGTGTGCCCCTGAAGGCCTGAGTAGCACCCTACCCCCAACAGCCATTCTTAGCCTATAGCCTGTGGCCACAGTTTGTACCAGTTTCTCATTCGGGCCATGCCCTCACTCCCTTCACCTCCTAGAGGAGGCCCCTGGCCCTGTGGCCTGGGTATACCTGTCATTACCAGTCAGGTTTCCAGGGAGACCCAGGTTTTCTGTCTGTGATTCCACTCTGGGACCTGCATCAGAGCCTTGCAGTCCTTGTCCCCAGGAGACTCCTTCACTGCTCCTCTTGGCTCTGCTCAGCAGTCCCACCTGTCGGTGCTGTCCCTTGCCATGAGGCTGTGGGACTCCCCCCCCACCACCACCGCCTGTTTTCAGACTGTTCTGGGGGGATCTCAGCCTGTCAATTCCTACCTACCCAGCCAAGCTCTGGCTGTTGATGAGGGAAGCACTGCCAGGGTCCTCTGTGGAAGGCAAGGCTGTGTTTGGGTTTCGGCCTGGTGTCCCAATTTCCTTAGACCCATGTTGCTGTGGGAGGTACGCCTTCTAAACAGTGGTGTACAAGGCATCCAAGGCTGGTGACAGGCCTTCTTCCAGGCCCACCCCAGGAGGCATCGGCAGTTTCCACCTTCCCTGCTGTCTTTTGATCCCAGGCCTATACCTTCCTCGGCCACAGCTGCCATCTCGCTGCCCTTCCTCAGTGCGCCATGCACACTGGACTGCGTTCCTTTCGGTGATGTGGTGACACTCTGGCTTTGGATGTCCCACAGCTTTTTGGCCACAGGTTGGACACTGATGATAGGTTTCCATGGTCTCGTGTGCTGCTGCAGCAGCCTGGCCACCCCGTGAGCATTAACTCCAACCACCGCCTGTGTCTGCACACTGTCCCTGTGGGTAGTATCAGCCCGATGCTTCGTGTGGGCATCAGGAGAGCCTGGCAGGGCTCTGCCTCTGCAGGGAGGACAGTGCTGGGGCTTTTCTCAGTGGAGACTGGCAGGTGTCCACTGCCCTGACGAGCCTCTACACATCCTGTTTACTGTCCTCGGCAGCCCTCAGTGCTTTGTTTCAGGCGTGTGATGCTTCTCCAGGGTAGGTCCTGGATGGAACCGGCAGTGACTGAGATGTGAGAGCCCTGGAACTGGTGACAGCCCTGTTGTAAAAGACACAGGCCTTCAGAGAGTAGGTGCACCCTCCCCTAGCTGTGCCTAAGAACATGGTGATGGGCTTCTTGCAGGAGATGGGCACAGTGCTGGTCCCTTCGGGAGCTCACAGTTGCTGGGAGCAGAGCAGTAGGCAGAGGCCCCCAGGAAAGCTGCTCAGCTGTGTTTCCTCCAGTTCGACATCCCAGGGAGCAGAGCAGAGTGCTTAGAGGAGGCTCCTTGGCAGCCAGCCAACACACAGAATCACACGTTGAGGGCTGGGATCTAGTCATTCTGCCTGGGTGAGGAGGAAGCCCTGAGCACTGGTGATGCACTTGAGGGAGTGTGTGAGGAGGAGTGAGCCTCTCCTGGCAACCAGAGGCCAGGGCACATGCTGGTGCCAAGGAGCAGTGGCAGAGTACTTCCTCGCTGACACCTGACCTGTCTCCTCCTGCAGGATGGCAATGTGCATGTGTACTCCATCCTGGGCACCACGCTGAAGGATGAAGGCAAGCTCCTAGAGGCCAAGGGGCCCGTGACAGATGTGGCCTATTCCCATGATGGAGCCTTCCTGGCTGTGTGTGATGCCAGCAAGGTGGTCACAGTGTTCAGCGTGGCTGACGGCTACTCGGTGAGTGGGGTGCAGGCTCCTATGTCCTGCATTGAATGGCACAGGTGCTGTTGGGGAAGACCTAGCTGGAGGCTCTTGGACCGCCTTCCTCAACTCGGTCCTCTTCTCCTGAGCCTTGGGCAGGCACCTGGTGGGTTTATACGCGGAGGCTGTGAGCCAAGAGTTCCAGGCTCAGACGTACTTAGGGATTGGGACCTTCCCCTTTCACTGAGAGGCTGGCTGGGAGGACACTCGGACCTAAGCCCTGACCTCCCTCCTCTGTTCATTCTGCACTAGGAGAACAACGTTTTTTATGGACACCACGCAAAAATCGTGTGCCTGGCCTGGTCACCTGACAACGAACATTTTGCCTCTGGCGGCATGGATATGATGGTGTACGTGTGGACGCTAAGTGACCCAGAGACCAAAGTCAAGATCCAAGGTGAGTCCCACCCCTGGGCCTCAGAGCCTGTTCAGTTGGGCTGTGCAGGCTACTCCAGAGACAGCCTCTGACGGCTGTTCCCAGGGTCAGGTAACCCTGGGGTCTCTGCTGTACAAGAGGTGACTGGTGGAGATGTGGACCTCGTGCTTCCCTCCGGCAAACACCAGGTGCTCTGCCAGTTTGTGCAGAGGGACCCTGAGGCATTCACTCTAGTGGGCACATGGGGTGATCCTGAGACACTGACTTCTGTGGGAACACAGGATCTCTATACGTAAGACACACGTGATGAAGGGTGTATGACATCTTCCCTCTCCGCCCCACTCCTGCATCTTTACCCATGTTCAGGTTGTCTCCCACTCAGAAGGGTGATGGAGACCACACTTGGCCACATCTGCAGAGGACACAGGCGTGCTTGTGTTCCACAGTGACTTGGGTTTACCGAGCCTCTCACTGGTCGGTAGTTCCGTGCTCCGCCGTTGAACGTGGCTGGAGGCCTAGGGGACGGTCCTACCACTCTCTCCTGTGCACTTGTCCACTTGCCATACAGAAGGCACGGCAGCCTAGTGTTCAGTGGACCGGGGTCCTGGCCTATTCTCTGACCCTGAGACCACCCTGGAAACTGCAAGTAAGGGAGGCCCACTGTTCTCTGATGTCACTGTTCCTGGAGAGCAGTCCAGCAAGAGGCCATCCAGGCCAGAGGGAGGAGAACTGTGGCAGCTTCTAAGTCTTGGTCTGTAAGGAAATTAATGTTTCAGTAAGAATCTGCAAGTTCACTGGGCGTGGTGGCACACGCCTTTGATCCCAGCACTCAGGAGGCAGAGGCAGGTGGATCTCCTAGTTCAAGGCCAGCCTGGTCTACATAGTTAGGACAGGACAGCTGGGGCTACAGGGAGACCCTGTCTTAAAAAGAACCCCCCTCCAAAAAAAGAATCCACAAGTTCACAAATAACATGGACCAAGAAGGAAATGTGGCAGGGCTGGTGGTATGGAGAATGGGGGCTGGCGACTTGTCAGTGCTGTGTCGCAGACTACCAGCCCAAGCTGCTCTGGCTGGCCATGTGCATGCCGGGCTCTGCACCCTGAGTTGGCATGCTTATGGTGCTGTGCCGAGGCCCAGCCTTAACCACGGAGGGAAGGCCGCAGCCTGTAGGGCCTCAGGTCCAGGATGGCCTGGGAACTGCCTGGGCTAGAAAGTAGGGAGCCTGTGCGGACCCTTTTCCGAACGGGGGTGGAGAAGGTGGGGGAAACTCCTGAAGATGTATAAGAAGGATGAGCCAGAGGAGCCACAAAGATGCATTGGGCATCTCACCACTGGGGTTCAGAGTGATGGAGGGGAGGTGGCAGTTGGAGGCCCATTACTCCAGTGTGACTTGTTGAGGGGACACCAGACAGGTCCTTAGTCCTGTTTCTTTTGTTCCTTACTTTAATACCACATATGATATGTATGTGTCCTGTGTCCCCACTTAAGTACCACTTACGGCACTGGTAATGGGACCTTCTGATAGCAAAATCCAAAGATCTCAAGTCTTCTGTCCAAAATGGCATAGCAGAATTTGCATATAAACCACACATCTTTGGGTACACATCCAACTCTCTAGGTGATACAACACCTAAAACGGTGTGCTGCAGAAACAGCTGGCGTGCTCTGTTACACCTCAGGGAGTAACAGGGATTTGTCTGTTGACTGCGTGGTACAGTGAGCTGTTTTCCATGGCTGGTTGGATCTGCACATGCAGAACCCACATGGACTGGGCACCCATGGGGGAATCTGTTGAGGCCTATCTGAATGTTGCTGTGTTATGTGGAAAGGATGATCCCCCCACCCGGGGTGTGGGGGGGGGACTTCAGTTGCTGGGACTTGGAGAGGAACCATTGGCATGGGTGGGCAGAAGCCAGGGGTTGCTTGCTGCTGATTCCCCTGCCATTAGTGCAGGACTGAACTCAGCCGCTTCCGCCTCCATAGCTGCAGACTTATCCTTGTGAATAAGGAGCAGGAGCCTAACCAGCAGCCACTGATTGATTGGTTTCTGTCCCACTGACAACTTCAGCCTGGTCATCCCCTCTTCCTCAAATCACATCACATCTTTCCTTCCTAGATGCTCACCGGCTGCACCACGTCAGCAGCCTGGCCTGGCTGGACGAGCACACGTTAGTCACCACCTCCCATGACGCTTCCGTGAAAGAGTGGACAATCACCTACTGAGGATGCTGACCGCTCCACGGACCGAATCAGGGACTAGTTTAACTGCCTTGGAGCACCCTTCTCTAACTTTCTGTAACACGCCCCTTCCACCTGCCCCAGGAGGGAGCAGAGCCTGTGCATACCCTCCCCTCTGCAGGGTGTCCATGTCTGTACGTGTCCTTCTGAAAGCTTTAGACAGAAACAGTTTGCACATGAGAAATAAAGCAAGCACTTAAACAGCGTGTGGAGCGTAACTAAAAACTTACAGCCCACCAGACCTTGAGAGCATGGAACATTCCAGGGGCAACAGCCTCCAAAGCACAGACCCCAGCCCCTGTGGCTCTTGCTGCCTGGCAGGAAGCTGGGCAGGGCACAGACCACAGTTCCCCTTTCCTGTGCAGGACACATCTGCCCTGGAGAGGAGGGGCTGACGGTGCGGACTGCCATGTCAGTGTTCTGTGTAGAGCAGGTGTCTGTTTCTCAGTGTGAGTCCTGTCACGTGGCTGCCTCCAGGGAGCCACCCCGGATTCTACCGGGACATGTAAACCTTGATCTTGTCAGATTTTGTGCTTGGTTTTAAAGAATGGAATCATGATTATTTTTTTTTTAATGTACCTTGACTGTTGTCTGTCATGTTCCCAAGTTGGCGCGCTGACAGTGCCATGTCCAGATGTGTAGAGCCCTTGCTAGCCAGGCTGAGGTGTCCTGGTCACATCACCATGCTTCAGTGTTTTCCTGTCTCTCCCCTTCTGGCCCCAAGAGCAGAGATGATGGGCAAAGCTGGTGCCACTGTAACTGGTCATCGTTTTTCTCTTTTCTTTTTTCAGTGAAGAAATTAAAAGTAAGTATAAAGCATTGTGATTTGGAGTTTCTTTGCGTGTGTCGGAATCACTGGTAAATGTTGGCTGAGAACAATCCCTCCCTTGCACTTGTGAGAACACTTTGAGCGCTTTAAAGAGATTAGACAGAAATAATTAAATATCTTTTCTCTCGATTGTGGATCACTGGCTTTGTGTGGTGGTGCTTGGGGGGGAGTGGGGAAGCTTTAGGGGACCCTTGTGGCTTTTGGTGTCTCAACAGCCGGCAGCTGCGGCAGGGTCCTGGAGAACCCACGTTGTAGCCGTCACATGGAAGGATTCCTGTTTCCATACCCCACCCTGATGCTAGACCCCACCTGGCCTGGCCTGCCTCCTTTCTAGGGCCTGGGTTTCATTTGTAAACTCTGAACATTGGGCCAGGTGACGTCTGGGTCCCATGTCTCCCCTTTGGGTTGTAGTACACAACTGCTCTACCATTGCCCTCTGGTCAGAAACTATATTGAGGTGTTGAGAACAACTCGGAAGCCCCCAAAGTGACTAAAAGCAAAAGGCACTCTTGTGTGGAAGACATCAAGTTGTGTACAAATTCTCAATCCTGAGGTTTCTCAGGAGGTTCTTTGTGATCGTGAACTGTACCTGCAGCTTGTGTATAAAGGGACTGCAGAAACCTCGAAAAGAAAGTCAAATTACTGCAGAATGTCTCAGACTCAAACCTCCACAGAGCAGGGTCAGAAATATCATTTGGAGTTGGGAAAAGATGCCTTTCCTGTCACAGGGGAAACCGATTCAGTAAATGGTACGGAGGACGCTGGGCAAACCCCGAGGGAGGGTGGCTGACCATGTCCTTATACCAGGTTGACTTAAACGGAGATCAGAACTGAGAACTTCAACGTGTGAAACCATTTGCTCCTAGAAGGAACCATGGAGAATTCAGTGGCAAAAGATTAATACATGTGTGTGAGTCTACGTGCATTGCATGTACAGGTACACCCCGTGCAGAGCCCAGAAGAAGGCATTGGCCCTTATCATTCCACACATTCCTTTGAGACAGAATCTCTCCCTTCCCCAAACCTGGGACTGGAGTTCTCAGCTAGGCTGGAAGTCAGCGAACCCCAACAGGCCTTGTCTGGTACTCTTGCTGTGAGTAGGATTATGGGGTAGGTGTGACACCCAGCTTTCTGTGTGAGGGCTGGGACTTGAATTCTGGTCCTCATGACTGCACAGCGAGAGCTCTTAACCACCGAGCTATCTCTCCATCCCCCAAGTACGTTTCTAAGGAAGATGGAAACCGAATAGTAAAAACATTTGGCTATGTTAAGCTTTTTAAATCCACACTGGTAGAAAAACGCAAGGACAAATGGCAGGCACTATTCCCAAGTACATGTCACCAGGCCACAGGACGGTAGGTTTGTGTCATGCTTGGCAATTTTTTCTTTTAGCATTTTGAATTTTTTTTCGTGGGAACAATCCACTTTTCAAAATACAGGATTAGAAACCAAGTTACGGAATAAGTCCCATAGAATGGCACCAAGCTCAGGACTGCCGATGAAGCCCAAGAGATGGAGTTGGGGTGCAGGGTCTCATTCCTTACCCAAAATTAGTTCAAAAAGATCTATGCTCATGATCTTTATCCATTTCAACAAGGGGGAGTTTTACAGCAAGGAAACCAGAACCCGAAAAGTCAGGATGAAAGCCCACTCGGGATGTACAGGCAGCATCCGTGAGCCAGCAGCTTGCTATTACACGCCTTGGCACCAAGTTGTCACTTTTGTGGGAGGTGTACATGGAAGTGTAGTGGGACCTGCCCTTGGCTCCACATGGGGCCAGGAAGATAGTGCTGGGCAAGTGCATTTTGAAGCTTCATCTGCCTGAACAGTAGATTCTAAGACCACTGGGCTGCACTGGACCCATTCGGACCTGGTCAAGATGAAGGCAGGAATGTAGCGTGGCCATACGCCCTCCGTCAGGCTCCTCCCCTGGCCCAAGGCCACGTGGAGGCCTAGTTCCTGCCCTAGGGGAGCCAGTATAGTAAAGCTGGGCAAAGCCAGGGTGCATGGATTCCGTTTTGGGCCTCAGGTTTTGCAGTCCCTTTATACATGAACTGCAGGTACGGTTCACAGAAAACCTCAGAATAACTTGGGTGATAAAATGAAAAAGCCCAAGCAGCCTTGTGAGCCTCTGCGATGCATTACACCGCCTGTTTCATCCTGCACTGCCCTTTTGGAGGATTCACCTCACACCACTAATACTTATTCTCTTACCATGTTGCTAAGGATGGGACCCAAAGTGTCTCACATGCTAGGCAAATGCTCTCCCCTGAGCTACACCCCATTCCTGTACCTAATGTTCAATAAAGGAAGGAATCCTGCCTTTCCAAGCTGCCTCTTCAGGCTGTGGGTTAGAGGCACAACTAGCATTGCTTTTCCTTTTGGACCTTAACTTGCTTTGCACCTGAGGCTTGCCTTCAAGCTCTGATCCTGCGTCTACCTCCCAAGTGCTGGGATTACGGCACACACCACGGTGCCCGGCTTTGAAAGTGTGGGTGTGCAAACGGAACATAAGAATCTGTTGGGATTGAACACGACTGCCAAGCCTCAGTGCATGAGCTGCTGATTGTTCACTGGTGTGGTGATGTTGGTCCCTAGACAACCAGGTGTGAAAATGTACCTCCAAGGATCCTTGGGGTTTGGTCTTCTGTGAATTTACCCAGGAAGTGACCCAGGACCTGTTAGAGCCAAATGCCCCCAACGTGGACCTGAGAGCTGGGGATCCCTTTGAGATACAGGTCCTCCTGGAAATTGCTGAAGCCCCCAAGAGGTAGTGATTATATGATGTATTGATCGAGAAGTTGAAAACCAAGCAAAGGAGTTATATAGTACTGCCTCTGAAAGAAACTTGTAAATCCACTACTTCTCAGCATAACACACTTCTGTAAGAACAGTGTTTTCCCTTATAAAATTAGAAGGGTGGCACCCTTACATTTTAGAAAATGTCTAAATGGCATCTCTAATCTGAAACACAGTGTTGAAATCAATGCAAGTCTGATCTCATACACATACACAGTGGAGGAGCACAAGTATTTTGATAGCATGGTTTGGAGACTTGATCTCATGTTTTCTTGAATTTTTATTACAGTGTGTGTGTGTGTGTGTGTGTGTGTGTGTGTGTGTGTACCAAGATCAGAGGACAGCGTGTGGGAGTCAGTTTTCTCCTTCCACTGTGTGGGTCCCAGGGATTGAACTTGGGTCATCAGGCTTGGTGGCAGGTACCTTTACCCACTGAGCCGTCTTGCTACCTTCATCTTTGACACTCCCCAAACTGGACAAGTGGGAGCTCAAAGGTTCACTGCCATGTGGAAGCTGAAGCTGCAGCCAGGACTCCCTGTCCTTTGTTGGGTTAAAATCCACCTTGGACGCATCTTTCAGCCATTTACAGGTTTGTGACATTATTTGGTTATTTGAAAAAGTGGTTCATTTAGCTGAGCATCGATCCAGTAGTCGGTCTCATCACCACCAATTTCATCAAAAGCACCATTAAGAAGTCTATTGGGAGGTGGGAGAGGGCAGAGAGATGCTCAGTGGTTAACAGCACTGCCTACTCTTGCAAGAGGACTACTCAGGTTCAGTTCTCAACACCCACATGGCAGCTAACAACAATCCATAACCCCAGTTCCAGGGGCTCCAATGCCCTCTTCTGACCTCTGTGGACATTGCAAAACCCGGATGCACTTACACACATGCAGGCAATATACTCATACACATAAAAAAAATTTTTTTAAAGAAGTCTATTGGCAATTGAGCTGCTGGGAGGAGAGTCTGTTTTCCTTATTGATGTGATGTCTGGTAGGTTGACCAGACTACAAGGGATAGAGACGTACCCAAAAGTATTTAGGAAACAGATTGGACTTGATAGGCCTTTAAGATAAATACAAATAATAGAAGGCATAGGGGGACGGTAAGTGGGAGGGAGGGGGAATGGGGTCTAAATGTGACCAAATACATTGTGTGAGATTCTCAAATCAATAAAAATAAGTTGACCTAGCTGAAGTGAATGTTCTGGGTCCTTGGGTCTCTGTTCCCAGGGCCCTTCCTGTAAGCACCAGTCTGGTTTGCAGTTTGGTCCCACTATCCAGGAAGAAGGAGAAAGCTTGGAGAAGGTTCCCTTGTGGTCCTCGTGGCTCCACCCCACAGTGTCCAGTCCAGTTTCATAGGGAGCCCTCAGCCATGTGAACACACCTTCCTTGTGGGGTCCCAAGGGCCTGGAATAGGAGGTGGGAAGCACAGCCCAGGGGAGGCAGCAGGCATGCCCACTCAGCAAATTCTAATGGTTGGTGGGCGCATTCGTTTGGCTTGAGTCACTTGGGGCAAATCTGGGGCTATTTTTGTTTTTGCTTTTTCCTGACTGTTAACAGTAACCTTGGATGGTGAAGCACATTGTTAAAAATCTGTTATCTGTTGCACATGTTGTCTTCACGAGCGAAGGTTTTTCTCAACACCTTGCAACTCAGACAGAATGGAGAGACATTGATTCCTGGGATGGGCATGAACTTGTTTCGGGTGGAGACTGCAGTGGTCACAATGAAAACACAAGGGAAGGCCGCAAGCCTTCCTAGTAACATGGTCTGATCCGAAACTCAGACCTAGGCTTTTACAGCTGCTACACAGTTAACACTGAACAAAGAGGAATTCATTTTAAATCTTTTTTATTTTTATATGTATAAATGTTATTCCTGCATGTGTGTAAGGGCACCCATGTGGTGCAGTGCCCACTGAGGTCAGAAGAGGGTGTCAAGTCCCCTGGAACTGGAGTTAAGGATGGCTGTTAGCCACCATGTAGGTGCTGGGACTCGAACCAGGGTCCTCTGCAAGAGCAGCCAGTGCTTTTAACCGCTGAGCCATCTCTCCAGCCCGAGTTCATTTTTAATACTAACCTGCCTAACACTTCTGTCAATTGGAGTTCAGATAAGATTTTGTGTATGAAAGTTTTCCTGAAGAAAGTTCGACAAGCACAGAATGAAATCAACTCTAAAAAGCAGTAGTTTCTTTATAGAATAAAAATGAACTTCAAAATTACACCATAGAGAATCTGATTTTTAATTTTTAATTCTTTTTTTCCCAGAGGGACGGAATTTTCCTAAGAAGAAAAGCAATGCCATTTCTGCTCCAACTCAAGCCCT